GACGGGGTTTCACCATGTTGACCAGGATGGTCTCAATCTCTTGACCTCGTGATCCACCCGCCTCGGCCTCCCAAAGTGCTGGGATTACAGGCTTGAGCCACCGCGCCCGGCCTAATTATTTTTATTTAAAGAAAACAGTATACAGTTAACCTAGTTTCGTGGCAAGTTCTTTAGCCTTTGCCTTTTTGAGCTTGGCGATGCGAGCCACAGACTTGGGACCCAGGACATTGCCTCCCCAGTGACACCGGATCTCATCGTATCTGTCATTATAATTGGTGCGGATAGTTTCCACCAGCTTAGCCAAAGCACCTTTGTCTTCCAGATTAATGTGTGTGAAGGCGACAGCGGTGCAGGTCTTCCTGTGTACTAGACATCCCAGTCTTGCCTTTCCCTTGATAATGCAGTAAGGGACTCCCATTTTACGACAGAGGGCAGGCAAGAAGACAACGAGCTCAATGGGATCCACATCATGAGCAATCACCACCAGCTGCGCTTTCTTGTTTTCCACCAACGTGGTGACGGTGTTGACTCCTGCTCGAAGGACAGGTGGTCTCTTCGTGGGGACGTCCCCTTTGCCAGCCGCTTTCTTCTCGGCCCGGGCCAACAGCCTCTGCTTCTTCTCTTGCTTGGTCTCTGGTCTGTACTTGTGTGCCAGCTTAAGCAGCTGGGTAGCTGTTTGGCGGTCCAGGGCTTGGGTGAATTGGTTAATTGCAGGAGGCACTTTCAGCCGCTTATAGAGGATGGCTGTCTGCCACTGCAACCTGATATAGCGGGGCCATTTCACAAAGCGGGTGAGGTCTCTTTTGGGCTGGATGTCTTGTCCAATGCCAAAATTTTTAGGCCTTTTCTCAAATAGTGGATTCACCACTTTCTTGGCCTCCTGCTTCTTCATGACAGCAGGGGCCGGAGCCACCTTCTTCCCCTTGGTCTTCTTTCCTTTCGGCATCTTGGGCGGCGGGAAGAGCTAATTTTTAAATTTTTTGAGGAGATAGGGTCTTGTTATATTGCCCAGGCTGGTCTCAAACTTTTGGGCTCAAGCAATCCTCCCACCTTGCCTTGCCAAAGTGCTAGCATTACCGGCATGAGTCACTGCACCTGGCTTGTCTTATTTTTTCAATTTCTTGTTTCATAGAGTACATGTTCTCTTAATTTATAATGAATAAAAAGTATTAATCAAATTTTGTCTCTGCTTCTTGAGTAGTTCTTCCTTCAAAGTGTATTTTCATCTGACATTACCTTGTTATATGTATATCTTTTTTTTTTTTTTTTTGAGATGAAGTCTCGCTCTGTAGCCCAGGCTGGAGTGCAGTGGTAAGATCTCGGCTCATTGCAAACTCCACCTCCCAGGTCCTTGTTCAAGCAATTTTCTTACCTCAGTGTCCCAAGTAGCTGGGATTACAGGCATGAGCCACCATGCCCAGCTAATTTTTGTATTTTTAGTAGAGATGGGGTTTCACCATGTTGGCCAGTCTGGTCTTGAACTCCTGACCTCATGTTCTGCCCGCCTTGGCCTCCCAAAGTGCTGGGATTACAGGAGTGAGCCAATCTACGCATATAGGCCTCACTTTAGATCCTTTCTTCTTGTTAATCTTTTCATCTTTGAATGAGGGCAAGTCCAATCTTTGGTAATAAGTCCAATAAGGCTTGATATAGGCTCAAGTATTACATGCACACACATACACACACATGCATGTGCACACACATATACGTGCGCACATGTACACACACTCACACACAGTCAATTATCTCTCATTTTCTTTCCTTTTAGTCCAAGGTCTACTATAACTTGATTTGTCATCCTGAATATCGCTGGTTGATTATGTCTTGTCTGTTCAGTACTCAGTCCTTCAGCTCTTTTGTGTGTGGTATTTGTTTGTTTTGAGACACGATTTCCACTGTCACCCAGGCTGGAGCTCAGTGGAGTGATTATAGTCACTGAAACCTCAAACTCCTAGATGCAGTTTTACATTGTCTTGTTTTACTGGTAAACAATCTATATCTTTAGTCCTCATCTTTCTAAACAAAGGCTGCTGGGAGGACCATTCAGGATCAGCTCTTTTAGTGAAATCTGCACTCTGCTAAATATCTGGGAATAAGTATACTAGAGCATGGTGTTCTCTATCAGAATAGTTCAAAACACAATGTATCTGGCAAGCAAATATCCTATTGTATGCTATGGGATTGTGTGTGGCTGATGCCTAGTTTCATTATAAATGAAGTGTGCATCTTAATTTTTGATTCATTTGTATGCAAATGACTTTTGCAATACATTGCATACATTAGGTGGACTTCACAAAGAGGAATTATATAAATTGACTTCTCTATCATTTTTGCTGGAAGCTTACTCTAGTCTGCAGTGCTATCTAACAAATTAATTTTTACTTCACTTTTATTGAATTTTTATTAAATGTCCCCAACTAGACTAGAAGGGTGTTGAGCACAGGGATTTTGTCATTTTCCTAGCTATCGTAAGTACAGGTTAAGCCTTCAGTACTGTCCCTGTTGAGTCAGGATACGTCAGGGAGAGCTGTTATCAGCTGTGTTCTATTTACTACTATGCTATTACAGGCTTAATAACAAAAGAAAAATTGCGTTCGAGAGGCCTGCAACAATAACTAAGTGAATGGTTTGCTCTGTTTCTCCTGGAATAGGACTTCGCAGCATCAAATGAAACCTTTGCATTTTTCCTTAAGACTGAAGATTCAATCACCCTTAATATCTAAAACTATTAGTTATCCTTTATTCAGTTCCAAATTGCCTTCATAATAATCATTTGGCAGTTACCTTGGTGATCTCATGTTCATGTCCTTTGAACCTTTTCACCACATTTCCAGTTTTCCAATTATAGGCCACAACTGTCTGAAGAGAGTCAAGATTTTAGTTTCATTACTCAATTCTTGTTAAACTGAAACTAGCCTCCACTTCATTCCCCAGCTTCCTTTCTCTCTTCTCACTTACTCCCTCTCTGTTCAGGAAACTGCTTGAAGCATTACGCCTTTACTGTTGTGTCCGCCCCTCCTCACATGCCCCTCTTTTGAGTTTCTTTTCTTTCCTCCTGGTTGTTCTCGGTCTCTCCCTCAGACACTGGACCACTGCTGTAAACTTACTGATGGGTTTGGGCAACATTCCCCAAGAACTGATTCCACTGGAGATTCTGGTTGTAGATGCTGACGGAGAATCTAACCCTTCCACATAGGGTTAGATTTGTCTTCTCTATTGTACTGTATTTTTTTGTTGTGGTTTTTTTTAAAAAAATTTTACCATTTTAGGCTGGGCGCGGTGCCTCATGCCTGTAATCCCAGCACTTTGGGAGGCCAAGGTGGGCAGATCACCTGAGCTTGGGAGTTCAAGACCAGCCTGAGCCTCCACCTCCCAGGTTCAAGCAATTCTTGTGTCTTAGCCTCCCCAGTAGCTGAAATTATAGGCATGTGCCACCATGCTGGCTAATTTTTATATTTTTGGTAGAGATGGGGTTTCGCCACATTGGCCAGGCTGGTCTTTAACTCCTGTTCTCAAGTGATCCACCTGCTTTGGCCTCCCAAAGTGCTGAGATTACAGGTGTGAGACACCGCCCTGGCCCATTATTAGTATTATTAACTACAGTTAGAATTCGCAGTTGTGCTACCAGTATCCCAGCTGTAAGTGCTATGATAGATCCAAATACGAAAGACAAACGTGAGATGGGAGGCAGGAGGACAAAACCATAGGGGAGTCACGATGCATACCAGTGTAGAGAGCATGAAAGAAGAGATTAGAAAGTTCCTTTTGCTGACAATTAACTCCTCTGTCTCCACGTAGATGTAATATGGGATTAGTGGGAAGTATAATTTTTGCCATTTATAGAAAGCATGTGGGTGGCCAAGCATAGCGTTAAGGATCTCACCTCCATTCTTTGATTTAATCTTTACAACCAACAATGAAGTAGCATTATTATTCCCACTTGACAGATAAGACTAAGCTCAAAAAATGTAAAGGCTTGTCCAAACTAATGGAAAGCAGCCAAGCAGGGATTTAAATCCAGTCTTTCTAACTCTAAACACATATTTTTACACTCATCAACCCTGCTCCAAGAAATGCAAATCCTATACTTCCTTTCAAAATATCTTCATTTCCCTGCAATAAAGTTCGTTTCCCAGGAAACATGGCAAACCCCACCTTATCTTTCCCTCCAGAGACACAAAGGTCTGAGTTCAAAGCAGCAACGACAAAGACGGTATCCATGTGAGCTGGGCTATACTCTTGAAAAGCTTTGGTTTGAATTCTCTCTTCTATAATTTCTTCAGGCCTGCTAAAAACAGTATGGAAAATGAGAGACCCAATGGCGTGGGAGAGGATGGGGCTGCGGTGAGGTGGGATGGGGAGAAGAATGTGGGCTAAGAAGGCAATTCAGGCTAGACTAAGGAGAAATATTTAAAAAGGAGAAGAGAAAGGAGACTCACTGACATTGTCAGCAATGGTATTATTTACTCTGAAAATGTGCAGAATGACTGAAGGGTTGGAATCCGATAAAGGGGAATCCTGAAGCCAAGAAGCCAGGAGTCTTTCTTTGCTCACACTAGTGATTAATCTTAAAAATTTAGGGCCCTTCTGTGTATGGGTGCAGATACTAGCTAATACTGTTGCTTTCTTTTGAGACAGAGTCTCTGCTTCCCAGGCTGGAGTGCAGTGGCGCACATGGCTCACTGCAGCCTTGACTTCCTGGGCAAACAATTCTCCCACCTCAGTCTCCCAAGTAGCTGGGACTATAGGCTTAAGCCATTATGCCCAGCTAACTTTTGTACTGTTTGTAGAGATGGGGTTTTGCTGTGTTGCCAAGGCTGGTCTCCAACTACTGAGCTCAAGCAATCTGTCCACATCGGGCTCCCAAAGCGCTGGGATTACAGGCGTGAGACAGCACACCCGGCTTTGGCTGTTTCTTATCCAAAAGAAAACACACTAAACTATTCAGGGAAGGTCATCAACATTTGCCCTGGGCCTTCTCTTTCTTTGGCGGGGAGTTTTAATGAGGCATGATAAAACCTGGGATCCCAGGGGAGGATTGCTGTACCTGTGTTTATAAGTGCTGTGTTTGAGTTTGCTTTGCAGTTTCCCCATCACGGAACAAAACCGACACGAAACTTTCTGTGGAGGAGCTGGTTTCAGTTGGCACCTGAGTAGCAGCATCCCTTGTGGCTGCTGGAAGTTGTGTTCCCTGTTTAATAAAAGGAAGAATACATACTGTTAATTTTGTTAGGCACAATAATGGTAGTATGATGTTAAATCCTTTTTTTTAGACGAATTAATTGTATGCTTTTGATTTTCCTCCTCACCCTACTTCACCCTTATGGCCCTAAGGTTGCAGATACACAAAAACAAAACTGATTTTAAAAAAGACTAAGAAGTCCTTTTATAAGTAAAACACAGAACTGCCATATGGTCCAGCACTTCTCCTGGGTTTACAGCCAAAAGCACTGAAACAGATGTTCAAACAAAAAGTTGTGCACAAATGTTCACAGCAGCACTGTTCACAGTGGCCAAAAAGTGAAAACAACTCAAATCTTCAACAGATGAGTGAATAAACATCATGTGGTCAATCCACACAATGGAATATTACCCGTCCATTAAAAGGAATGAAGTACTTGTACATACTACAACATGGGTGAATCTTGAGAACGTCATGCTAAGCAAAAGAAGCCAGGCACAAAAAGCTACAAATTTTATATTCTATTCTATGTATATGAAATATCCATAGTTGGCAAACCTATAGAGACAAAAAGCAGATTAGCAGTTGCCAAGAACTGGGATAAGGAAGAGATTGGAGAGCGACTACTTAATAGATACAGATAGAATGTAATACAGAATATCTTAATAGGCCAGATATACTTTAGATATGTGTCCCCTCCGAATCTCATGTTGAAATTATATCCCCCACTGTTGGAGGCAGGGCTTAGTGGGAGGTGTTTCGGTCATGTGGGCAGATCCCTCATGAATGATTTGGTGACATCCTCCCCCCCGGGTAATTAGTGAGTTCTCACTCTATTATTTCCTACAAGAACTAGTTGTTTTAAAAATGCCTGGCACCTCCCCCCTCACCTGGTTCCTTCCCCTCTTGCCATGGGATGCCTGCTCTCCTTTGCCTTCTGCCATGGTGGAGGCTTCCTGAGGCCTCCCCAGAAACAGATGCCCACATCATGTTTTTTCTACAGCCTGCAGAACCATGAGCCAAATAAACGGCTTTTCTTTGTAAATTACTCAGTCTCAGTTATTGATTTTATTTTGGAGACGGAGTTTTGTTCTTGTTGCCCAGGCTGGAGTGCAATGGCCCGATCTCAGCTCACTGCAACCTCCGCCTCCCAGGTTCAAGCAGTTCTCCTGCCTCAGCCTCCTGAATAGCTGGGATTACAGGCATGAGCCACCACGCCCAGCTAATTTTTGTAGTTTTAGTAGAGACGGGGCTTCTTCATGTTGGTCAGGCTGTTCTTGAACTTCCAACCTCAGGAGATCCTCCCACCTCAGCCTCCCAAAGCATTGGGATTATAGGCGTGACCCACTGGGCCCAGCCCTCAGTTATTTTTTTAAAGCAATACAAACAAACAAAGAGGCAGAATTTCCTTTTGGGGTGATGAAAATGTTCTAGAACTACACAGTGATGATAGTTGCACAACATTGTCTCTATATACTAAATGTTACTAATCAGAAATTTTATGTTATGTGCAGTCTGTCACAATCAAATAAATCCTAAGAGGATGTAATTAAAAATAAAAAATAATTTACACTACTGAAGCTTCTTGAAAAAGAAAAGCCTTAGTTATTTCAAAGGTTATAACCTTCCTTGGTTGCTGGATAGTTTTTTAAAAAAAATAATTTCACTATGGCACCTCTCAGTGTGCCAGAATCATGAAATAGATGTTCTAAGAATGAGATGCTAGAAATAATGGCATTAAATGAGACAATATAGGTAATGACTTAGACTAGCAGTTCTCAAAGTGTGAGCCATGGATCATGGGGGATTTCTGAGAGCTTTTCAGGGAGTCTGGGAGGACTTCCCTTTTCCATCTACATCTCTTGGTGAGGCCCTTCTCGCCTTCCTTCCCTCCCTTTCTTTCCTTCTTTCTCCTCCTTCTTCCTTCTCCTTCCTTCCTTCCCTCCCTCCCTCCCTCTTTCTTCCTTCCTTCCTTCCTCCTTCTTCTTTCTTTCCTTCCTTCCTTCCTTCTCTTTCTTTCTTTCTTTCATTTCTTTCTTTCGCTCTCTCTCTCTCTCTTTCTTTCCTCCCTTCTTTCCTTCTTTCTTTCTTTCAAGACAGGATCTCACTCTGTCACTCAGGCTGGAGTGCAGTGGTGTGATCTCGATATAACCTCGACCTCCCAGGCTTTGGTGATACTCCCACCTCAGCTTCCCAGGGAGCTGGGACTACAGGCTTACACCACCATGCCCCACAAATTTTTTTGTTTTTGGTAGAGATGGGGTTTCGCCATGGTGCCCAGGCTAGTCTCCAACTCCTGGGCTCAAGCAATCCACGTGCCTTGGCCTCCCAAAGTGGAGGCCTTCTTTTCTTTTTATACCTCAACATAAACAATATACTGTAATAGACTGTGTTCAGAAGCAGATATCAGAGTCCAATTGTCTTCTGTTTAAGGCAAACATTAGAAATTTGCAAAAACATAAAGCAATATCACTTTTTCTAACTAAATATTTTGGTTTTGGAAAGTATATTTGTTTTTCATAAAATGATGTTTTATGTTAATATGCAATAGGTTTATTGTTGTTATTTCAAAATTAACAAGTAAATGTCTTTAAAATTTCTGATTTTTTAAAATTAATTAATTCACTTAATTGTTTATTTTTTTTGAGTTGGAGTTTCACTCTTGTCACCCAGACTAGAGTGCAATGGCATGATCTTGACTCACTGCAACCTCCGCCTCCTAGGTTCAAGCAATTCTCCTGTCTCAGCCTCCTAATTGGGACTACAGGCGTGTACCACTACATCCAGTTAATTCTTTGTGGGTTTTTTTTTTTTAATTTATTTTTAGTAGAGATAGAGTTTTACCATTTTTTGGCAAGGCTAGTCTCAAACTCCTGACCTCAGCTGATCCAACTGCCTCAGCCTCCCAAAGTCCTGGGATTATAGGCGTGAACCACAGCACCAGGCCTCATTTGTTTATTTTTAAATTTAACAAACCCTGCATGTGGCATTCAATCTCAGTTTTAATGTCAAACAATGGTAGCAGAGCAGGATTCAAATCCAATCTACAACCTACAAAAGCAAAACCTCTTTGGGGGGGTCCTTAATTTTTAAGAGTGAAAAGAAGTTCTGAGGCCAAAATGTTTGAGAGCCAGTGACTTAGAATTTAAATCATGTTAATATTGGATTATATATTGGAATAAAAAGAATAATGAAACATCTTCCAGATTTACTTGTATCATTCCCCCCAACTAAATAATGCTAGAACTGAAAAGAAAGAGAATGAATTATGCATTCAAAGATGTTCCTCCACTCACTCAGGAAACGCCTCCAAAGCACCTTATCTGTACAGGTCCTATACCAGTTGCTGGTGAAACAGAAAAAAGGAGAAACCTGAAGATGTGACCAGCATGAACATTTACTGGGACTGAAGGAACCTAACTAGGTACCAGTCTCAATCACTCCAGGTCACATGTCCTCTGCAACTGGCTGCAATATCAAAGAGCTGAGGGAAGTATGTGGGGCACTAGGAGTGCCCAGTCCCCATTTCTTCTGGGGTTCTGCTTAAAATTCTAGGAGATGAATTTCTTATGGGCATGACCAGCCTACTTCTAGGAAGAACTGTCTACAGGAAGAACTGCTTACAGGAGGGAACAGCAGCTAAAATGCACCAACTTCATATTCTCATTCATACCATTAACATTGAAAACTAGAGCTTTCCAGAAGGATTTCAGCCTACATTTTGAGAAGTTGCTAGAATTGACCTCTTGACAAGAATAGGTAACCAATACAGAAAAGCACAATGCAATGGAAACAACGTGAGTGGCATCACGGGGCCTAGGCTCTCCCCGAGCCCTGCCTCATCCCACTATGTGTCCTTGAGCAGTTCCATTCCCCACTCCGGCCTCAGCCTCCCCATCTAGAGAATTAGGACACTAGATGAAATGATTTTTAGTAGACTATGTGTATAATGAGAGAAGGACTTTCATTATTCATCTTTGTACCCCAAGTGGCTTGCATAGTACTGGACAACAACAACACTTGTGAAGTAGTGAATCTGAGGTCCCTTCTACTTCAAATATTCCAGGATTTTCTATAAGAGACCACAAGAGGTACTGAGAGGCAAAAATGCAGGATAGTTTTCAAAAAGTTTGGGATGTGGTATTGTTTATAGATAGATAGAGGGTGCGGGGCTTCTTATCTGCCAGCCTAACCTATTTTTCAACATTGTCATCAAACTAATGGCAGATGCCATCCATAGATCTAGGTCACTGGAAATTGCAGGTACTATAAATGGACTGGCTCTGCTCAAAACTGATTGGTATAGTCAGAGAGCCATACTTCTCAAGTAAAGCATATTCACGGGACATTCTAAGGAAAAGATAACTTCTAGAATTACTTACCCCCAAACCAATACGATCTTCTTGGTGAACTGCCCTATTCAATAATTTGTAACGTGTATCCTTTGGAAAATAGTTCAAGCAGCCACTTCTTAATCTCTGTAATTAGTGGAAAGCCACTCAAGTTAATCTCTTTTCTGTCTAAGCATGTTTGCCCTGAAAAGAGATTTGCAAGGTAAATATAAGACCTGGTTTATTAAAGAGATGGTTAGGTATAGTTTTCCCTCACAAAGAAATGCTTTACAAAATTCCAAGATTATCTCTCTCACATTTCCACAAGTCAGGAAAGTATACTATAATGTTAATTATATATCTATTTTAAATATGCAAAATATATTTTAATACATCATTTAATATTTTTATTTTGCTCATAACACAGTACTTCTGTTCATCAAAAATCTTGAGTTGACTGCTTACTTCAGAGTTTACTGCTTTTGTGAAAAAGGCAATTTCTCCCATTTTAAATAATTATACTAGAATTCAAGATGGAAGAGCTTTTCAAAATCACCATATATAAACCATTTATTTATTTCAAGATCTGCAGAATAAGGGTAGAAATATTATTTGCTCAAAATTATAACTAAGACCATTTATTTAAAGATCTGAAGATTAAGAATAGAAACATTATTTGCTCAAAATTATAACTAAGTAAATCTCTTGACTTCTAGTCTAGAATTCCCATTATAAATGCCTACAAAGAATAAACAGTTTTATCCCATTTTAATAACTCAATTTTAAGAATTCAAATTCTAAATATTGATTGACAGTACAGCTTATTCTGAGAATTAAAGGCAGCACAGAATAGTCAGAACATTGGATTAAACACATTAGTGTCTGCACTAGATGGAGCTAGTTCTGAATTGTAGCCCTACTGTGGCCTCAGACAAGTTTTTGAACCTAAGTCTCACTTGCCTATGTGTAAAATAGGATAACTCTATCATTGACTTCAGTGAAGATAAAAATAGCACTTAAAATGTACCAGGAACTGCTCTATATGTTTTATATTTATTAACTCATTTAATCTATTCTACAAGCCTCCAAGATACATATTGTTACTACAGGTTAAGCATCTAATCCAAAAATCTAAAATCCAAAATCCTCCAAAATCTAAAACTTTTTGAACACTGACATAATATTCAAAGGAAATACTCATTGGAACATTTTGGATTTTTTTTTTTTTTTTTAAGACAGAATCTTGCTCAATTGCCCAGGCTGGAGCGCAGTGGTACAACCTCGGCTCACTGCAACCTCCACCTCCTGGATTCAAGTCATTATCTTGCCTCAGCCCCCTAAGTAGCTGCGATTACAGGTATGTACCACCACACCCGGCTAAGTTTTGTATTTTTAGTAGAGACGAGGTTTCACCATGTTGTTCATGCTGGTCTCGAACTCCTGACCTCAAGTGATCTGCCCGCCTAGGCTTCCCAAAGTGCAGGGATCACAGGCAAGAGCCACCGTGCCAGGCCACATTGGAGCATTTTGGATTTCAGGTTTTCAATTAGGGATGCTCAACTCTTACGTATATAAAGCAAATATTCTAAAATCTGAAATTTGAAACACTTCTGGTCCCCAGCATTTCAGATAAAGGATACTCATCCTGTATGACCATTTTGCAGATGAGAAAAGTGAGGCACAGAGCTATCAAATAGCTTGCTCAAGTTTATACTGCAAATAAGCGGCAGAGCCAAAAGTTGAATCCAGGCAGTCCAACTCCAGAGGCCCTGTTCTCGACCAGCATATTATACTGCATCTCCATAAAGGCTAGTGCATATAAAGCCTTCGATTTAATCTGGCAAGCTGTTAAAAATAAATTATGATTACTAACATGATTGCAAGATTAACAGTGATAATACTGGCAACAGTAATTTCACCATTAATACTGTTCATAATGCATGAATATTAAACACATATACCAAATATACACAGAGAACATATACAAATGGATATATGAATCTAAATGATATTAAAGTTGAAGCCAATTATGGCCTCTAATCAGAGTGATTAATCCCAATGAGGCTAAGAATTCATTATGTTATATAGCAAGGCAATTTAAAAGTCTCAAAAACAAAGTATATAAATTTGGGTTATGTCTACATTGTTGTAACTTATTATGAGTTGACTAAGAAATAAAAATACTACTAAGTTATCTTCCACTATTTTTATTATGAACATGTAATATTCTTGAGAGGAGGTATACTGTCTGTTTCATTTTTCTCTCTCTGCTTTGACCTTAGCCTGGGAGAATGAACACAAGGCAGATGAATACCTGTTGAATGAATGAATGGAATAGTAAGATGAAGCATCGGCTTGGTAGGACTCTTTTTAAGGACCCAACAACATAAGGGTCCTTTAAACCTGCCCAACGACGTATCCTTTAGAAAGCAGTCACCCTGTTTCATCCCAGACTACAGACCCAGAAAGGTTGGAGAGGACATGCGAATATCTATAGACTGATGGCTCTGGATGTCCCTGTTGGTTCTAGCTGGAACCAGGTCTCAGTCTGAATCCCAGCACTTATTTCTATTCCAATCTGCTTTCCAAAGGCCTTGGGATATATCCAGTCATCACTCTAAACCACCCTAAACATAAAGCAGAGAATTATCTTTTAACTCTCCAGTGCAATATTCCTTGATCTACACCAGTACCTATCCAACTGTTCTATTCCATGAAGGAACTGGGGCTCACAGGGTTGTGACTCGCTGAAGGTCAAGGTCACGGGGACAGAGCTGGGTGGACTGGACCTTATTTCCCTGGTTCCCTGTTCATGCAAATACTGATATCCTATCTCCCTCCCTCTCCCCAAATCTCCCTCTGCACACTTCTGTCTTACACTCTGGAAGACCAAGGCATCTTTAGCTGCCAAAACAATGCTCAAAGAAAGAAAAGTATGAGTAGAAACACCTGGAAGCTGGCCTGGTTCGACCCTCTGGTGGTACAGATAGGGGAAACTGAGGCCCAGAGAATAAGACGGTCTTGCCCAGAGTCACATAGGGGGTCAGTTCTAGGGCAGCACGCTTAAGGTTGCCTCAAATTTTGGGGACGACTTGCGTGCACTTTTCCTTTCTGTCGCTTCAGATCGCAAATGCTCCTCTCCCTGCTCATTATGAGAACGACTAAAGCTTTTTTTTTTTTTTTTTTTTTAAGAGAAGCGGAGTCTCGCTCTGTCTCCCAGGCTGGAATGCAGTGGCGCGATCTCGGCTCACTGCAACCTCTGCCTCCCGGCTTCTAGCAATTCTCCTGCCTCAGCCTCCCGAGTAGCTGGGACTACAGGCGCGTGCCATCACGCCCGGCTAATTTTTTGTATTTTAGTAGAGACAGGGTTTTTACCGTGTTGCCCAAGCTAGTCTCGAACTCCTGAGGTCAGGTAATCCATCCTCCTCGGCCTCCCATAAAGCTAGGATTACAGGTGTGAGCCATCGCGCCCGACCTAAGCTTATTTTGATGTGTCTGTGGAAAGCGGCGAGAAAAGTCCCCCAAGATAGGAACCTAGCGCCACCCAGCCCAAGGTTGGCCTTCATAACCGCTCTCCGCTTCGGCCAAAGGGCAAGGGCTGCCCGCTCCCAGTCTGCTGCCGTGCCCCTTTCTCCCACCTCAGGCTCAGTACCCACCGATGGACTGGGTGGAGGGACTGGAGCTGGGGCCGGCGGGAACCCGGAGCCGGGGGGCGTGAGCAGCCTCCGAACCCTACAGCCTCCCGCGTCTCCGCCCCTAGCAACAGGCGCAAGTCGCTAGGGCGGGAGTCCGGGCGAAAAGCCTCCGGGCACCCTCGCCGGCAGCGGAACCGCAGTTCCGCTCCCCTAAAGCTGGGACGGAACCGAGCGCCGGGTCCTACTATCTTAGTGTAACAATGCGCTGATGAGGTCCAGAGAAGAGGACGCTTGTGCCCAAGACCACGCTGCCAGAGAATCTAAACAGTCCAAGGAAAGCGGGTAATAACTTTGTAATCGCTACGGAGAAAGCACTTAATAAATATCATCTTTTAAATTATTAGTCGCTCAGATAGACGTGTTGCCGTATTTCTTTGGAGTTTCCCTGATTCCAACTAGAAATTCCTCCTTCGGACACTCCCCCAGGCCCCCACTTACTCCCATATTCCTTTCATTATTTTTTTCATCGAACCATTACAGCCTAGTACCATTGCAAGAAGAGACCCCTCAGTGTCTTCCTGAGATCCAAATGGGAAGACAGTTGTAGAAACTAACAGTTTTTGCAGCTGCAGTCGCATTGCTTCCAGACTAGAGTCTATTCATCTCTGTATTCCTGGTGCACAGTATGAGGCTTGGTATATAGAAGGGGCTTATTGAATGTTGGTTGAATGAATGAATGAATGAATGGCAGAGATCCTAGCCAATATTTATTTATTTATTATTTATTTATTTTTGAGATGGAGTCTTGCTCTGTCGCCCAGGCTGAAGTGCACTGGTGCGATCTCGGCTCACTGCAACCCCGCCTCTCGGGTTCAAGCGATTCTCCTGCCTCAGCCTCCCAGTAGCTGGGATAACAGGTGCACGCCTCCACACCGGGCTAATGGATTTGTATTTTTAGTAGAGATGGGGTTTCACCATGTTGGCCAGGCTGGTCTCAAACTCCTGACCTCAGGTGATCTACCTGCCATGGCCCCCCAAAGTACTAGGATTACAGGCATGATTTGTGGAGTTTCTGAAAGTTGGGTGCCTTCGAGGGGGTGGGAGTGATGAGAGAAGTTTGCCTCCATGGACTGGCTATTGGGTCTGTTTTCCAACCCAGGGAGGGGATCCCCTCCATTACATCCCTGATGGGGTATCTGTAGCCCTAGTTGATGCTTGGTCTGTGATGATGCACTCGTTACTCTCAAAGTTAGTGACCTATTGTTGGGAGATTTCCTTCTGGCAGGAGAAAGTATCTACCCCTATGCTACTTGAAACTCTGATCTTCGTTTAGAGCCGAGGGCTTTCATTACAAACTTTGTCCCTTTTCCCCACAACAGATTGGCAAGCCACAACCAGGATAAACGTACTACTTTGTCCTGGGACACTGGGATAGGCTCAGTGCAGCTGCAGAGTTGAGTTACTAGATCTTTGCCCCCCAAGATGATCCTGCTCTGGGCATGTGCATCCCTCTGAGAGAGATGCTTTAGGCTTAAGGCACAAAAGACTTCCAAACAGGTACCTGTAGCCAGTCCTGTACCTGTAGCCTCTCCCTGAGCCACACCTGTATATCCACCTGCCCATCTCCAACCAGCTGTTTAAAAAACATCTCATTCTTGACATGACTCATACTGGAAACATCATCTTCCTCCCAAACCTGTTCCCCTTCTTTTCCCTCTAAGTGCTGGGCACTACCATTCACTAATCACCCAAGCCAAGGACGTAGGAGTCATTTGTAACTTTACCCTCTCTTCCTTGTTCAAGAACAATCCCCGAGACTTCTCAATTCCACCTCCCCAACATTATAAAAATATAAATCTGTTCACTTCTCTCCACCTACCACTTGGATTCAGGCCAACATCAGAGAGTGATGGATTAAAAATGACCACAAATTCTTTGTAGCTTTTCCCATCAAGGTTGGCTTTGAAATGTGTTTTGACTGACAGAATGCAACAGAAGTGACATTGTGGGACTTCTGAGTTTAAGCTCC